AAAAAAAAAAAAAAAAAAAGTGGTTTAGAGCTCAGGACAGCTCGCACCGCACCCCTCCCAACACATACACACACACTGCCTGCAAACCTGGGTAGGACAAACCAAGGATCTAGGCCCCAAAGGGAAAAGCTGGCTTACCATGCTTGATTATCATTTCTTGGAAGGTGAGAAAGTAGGGGGATAGACACTGGGCTCTGGCACACACAGACCTGGGTCCAAATCCTGCCTCTGTCACATTTTGTTATTTGGGTGCAGGACTTTTCACTTCATGACAATGATCAATAATATGACTTTTTTTTTTTTTTTTTCAGCAGATGGAGTCTCCTGTGTTGTCTAGGCTGGAGTGCAGTGGCTCTGCAACCTCGAACTGCTGGGCTCAAGTGATCCTCTTCTGTCAAGTAGCTAGTACCAGCAGGCTCACCACTGTGCTCAGATGATGTATGACTTTTTTTTTTTTTTTTTTAAGACAGGGTCTCACTCTGTCGCCTAGGCTGGAGTGCAGTGGCACAATCACAGCTCACTAAAACCTTTACCTCCTGGGCTCAGGTGATGCTCCCACCTCAGCCCCTTGAGTAGCTGGGTCTACAGGCACGTACCACCATGCCTAGCTAATTTTTGTATTTTTTGGTAGAGACAGAGTTTCAGCGTGTTGCCCAGGTCACTGTTGAATTCCTGGGCTCAAACAATCCTCCTGCCTTGGCCTCCCGAAGTGCTGGGATTACAGGCGTGAGCCACTGCACCCAGCCTGATATATGCCTCTTAAGAGTTTTCTGGCTAGGTGGTGGCTCACACCTGTAATCACAGCACTTTGAGAGGCCAAGGCAGGAGGATCACTTGAGGTCAGGAGATCCAGACCAGCCTGGCCGACATGGTGAAACTTTGTCTCTACTAAAAATACAAAAATTAGCCAGGCATGGTGGCACATGCCTATAATCCCAGCTACTGGGGAGGCTGAGGCAGGAGAATTGCTTGAACCTGGGAAACAGAGGTTTAAGTGAGCCGAGATCGCATCATTGCACTCCAGCCTGGGCAACAGAGTGAAACTCCGTCTTGCAGTGGCTCACGCCTGTAATCCCAGCACTTTGGGAGGCTGAGGTGGGCGAATCATGAGGTCAGGAGTTTGAGACCAGCCTGGCCAACATGGCAAAACCCTATCTCTACTAAAAATACAGAAAAATTAGCTGGGCGTAGTGATGGGCACCTATAATCCCAGCTACTCGGGAGGCTGAGGCAGGAGAAGCGCCTGAACCCAGGAGGCGGAGGTTGCAGTGAACTGAGATCACGCCACTAAACTCCAACCCAGGCAACAGAGTGAGACTCTGTCTCAAAAAAAAAGGGGGTGGGAGTTCTGTGTTTACACATTTATCAGCCTCCCCCACCAGACATAAGCTCCCTGAATCCAGAGGCTTTGACTTGATGGCCAGTGTTCCTCCAGCACCTGGTACAGGGTAGGTCTAGATTTAATGTAACCTCTCTAAGCCTCAGTTTCTTCACCTATAAAATAAAGCCAATGGTAGTACTTCCCTCAAAGTGTTGGGATGAGGATCATGTGAGATAATGCAGGTAAGGTGCTTGGCAGTGCCTGGCACAGAGTAAATATTCATAAGTGAACCAATAATGGTAACTGATTTTTTTTTTTTTGGAGATGGGAGTTTCCCTCTTGTTGCCCAGGCTAGAGTGCAGTGAATGGCGCGATCTTGGCTCACCGCAACCTCTGTCTTCTGGATTCAAATGATTCTCCTGCCTCAGCCTCCTGAGTAGCTGGGATTACAGGCATGTGCCACCATGCCTGGCTAATTTTGTATTTTTAGTGGAGATGGGGTTTCTCCAAGCTGGTCAGGCAGTAATTGATCTTGATGGTGAGGAAGGCTCAGCTGTGCCACAGACTTGTCACATGACAAGTCTGTGACTGTATACAGGTCATGTGACTGTATATAAGTCCCTTGTCCTCTCTGGGTCTCATTAGAAATGCTCTGTCCAGGGACTGGGAGTGGTGGCTCATGCCTGTAATCCCAGCACTTTGGGAGGCCAAGGTGAGTGGATCACCTGAAGTCAGGAGTTCGAGACCAGCCTGGTCAACAGCGAAACCCCATCTCTACTAAACATATGAAAATTAGCCAGGTATGGTGGCGGGTGCCTGTAATTCCAGCTACTATTCAGGCTAAGGCAGGAGAATTGCTTGAACCTGAGAGGCAGAGGTTGCAGTAAACCAAGATTGTGCCACTGTGCTCCAGCCAGGGGGACAGAGTGAGACTCCAACTCAAAAAAAAGATCTGCCCAGGGTGGTTGGAAGCTCAGGGGAGAGATTGGAAGTGATTCTCTATAAGTTTTCCAGTGAAGACAGGAGGTTTCACATCAGCATGAGCAATTCGTAGACCAGTTGGTTGTGGATTTAGTCAGGGGGTCAGCAGACAGGCATTTTTAAACTTGCTGAGTGGCTTTAATATGTGAGGGGGACTTGAGTAGGTCCAGAGACAAAACCAACTGAGATATGTGGGTTCAAGCCATGTTCAGGATGGATCTTTACACCTGATTGAACAGTTAAACCCCTGTTACTAAGCACTAGCATCTCCATCACATCTGTCATGTTAGCTGTGTGCCAGGTCCTTGAAATAAAGGACCTCTGATATTCCCCACAACCCTGTCAAGTGGAAATTGTGATCCCCATTTTATAAATGAGCAATTTGAGGCTTAGAGAGTTTAAATGACTTTTCCAAAGTAGGGAAGGAGGAGGATGGGAGGGCCAAGACACGGTCAACTTGGGGCAGGGAAAGGCTGTGGCCCACGCACTTGTGCAGGACAGCAATCTCATTCTCCATGCTTCCTTCCTTGCCCTCCAGGGCCTTCTTGGCAATGCATTTGATGGCCACCAGCTTCTGCGTCCTCTTATCTTCTGCCAGGATCACCTCCGAGAAGGCCCCCCTATGGGGAGAGGGGATTCACAAGGTGAAGAACTGGAACCCCAGCTTCCCTCCAGCCTCTCCTCCATCCCCTATGGGTTCTGTGACCACTGCTAGATCAAGGATGTGGATGACCCTCCCCAGTCACTCAACCATCCCCTGGTTCCAGAAGTGGTCACATGACCCAGGCCTGGTCAGTCAAAGTAGTCTCTCCCCTAACCACAGTAATTGGTCACGTGATGCAAGCCAGGTTACTTGGCACTTTGAGAATGGGGCTCCTGCTGAGCTGGTACCATGTAAGCCTGGAGCTAATGGCGATCATCTTTTCCACCACTTGGGGAGAGCCTGCTTGGGAATGAAATCAACACAGAGGAAGTCCAACCTGAGAAATGGTCAAAGACATTTCCTGATAACATTATGTGGGCCTCTGGATCCAGCCATGCCTGAAGTCTACCCCTCAGCTTTTTGATTATGTGTGCAGTTGATTCATCCCTTTTTCTGCTAATTTGAGTCATGGCTAATTTAACACCCAGAACCTTAAAGAACCCTCAGCATCACCTGGGTACTTTTATAGAAATGCAAAATCTCTACTACTTTGGATCCTGTGCCAAAAAAAGAAAAGAAAAGAAATGCAAAATCTTAGGCCTTGTCCCAGATTTACTAAATCAGAATCCACAGTTTAACAAAATCCTCAGGTGATTTGTATGCTCATTAAACTTTAAGAAGCAGTACTGGCTGGGCACGGTGACTCACACCTGTAATCCCAGCATTTTGGGAGGCTGAGGCAGGTGGATCACGAGGTCAGAAGTTCAAGCTCAGCCTGGTCAATATGGTGAAACCCTATTTCTACTAAAAATACAAAAACTAGCCAGGTGCGGTGGAGAATTGCTTGAACCCAGGAGGCAGGGGTTGCAATGAGCTGAGATCGCGCCACTGCACTCTAGCCTGGGAGACAGAGCAAGACTCTAA